GAGAAGGTAAACAAATTCTGTACAATCATGCTGGCCACATGACCACAGAGTAGTCTCTGACAATGCTGGCTCTTCAGCTTAGTTACAGAGATGAGCACTGCTCCCTATGACTGGATACAACTTGACAACCTTGTCAATGGAGAATACCTTTAACTTTTGTTACTTGTTACCTGACAAGCAAGTTACATAATAATAATAATAATAATAATAATAATAATAATAATAATAATAATAATAATAATTTATTTATACTCCACCTTTAGCCGTAGCCATCAAGGTGGCTTTCATCTAAAATCAATACATAAAACAATTCCTACAATAGGTTACAAAACAATAAACTAACACTATTAACTCACCCTTAAAAATGAATTAAATACAAGTCTGAGTTTAAAACTAAAGTTAACCAATAAACACATTAAAAATAATAACTTTCAAAAACTCTGGGTAAGGCGTGGATGTAAGAGAATGTCTAACAGGGGGAGGTTAAGATAAATGAGTAAGCAACACCTATTGAAATTCCCTCTTCTGCACAACCATTAAAGGTACAGGAGCCTTCTCCAATTTTTAATTTGATAGTCCTAAGCAAGAGACTACAATCTCTTGGTGCAGCCTCATATCCTTGAATGTAGCCTTGGTGAAAGCTATAACCCCATCACTAGTTTTGAAGAAAGATTCGCCTGTCAATCCACTCCGCTATTGCCCATAGAATGGGAGGACTACCATGACTGTTTGGGGTTTGGTTTGTTGGTTTGTTTGCTTTGGTCATGGACAGCAGAATGTTTTCACCTGGCCCTGTTTTCAGTCTTTCTGCACCACCAATGGAAAAGCCAGGATATCTAACAGTGGGGATAAGTTAGAAAATAACAGCAACCTGTTCCTATCAAACAAGGGGACAGAGAAGTGCTGGGATCTGTAATAGTGAACACTTTATGGACTGGTAGGTAATTGGTAGGGAAATGAGGCAGAGGTCTTACAAGCTCAGGACAGGAAGCCAGGCCTGTGGCAACATCTTTGTTTCAGCCAGAAGTCACTTATTCCCTCAACCTTCTGTCACTACTTCAATGTATTCATTTTCTTACAACCGCAACATCCTGACTGAAAAAAGCAGAACAGATCACCACCCTGCCCCAGTCATGGTTTTCCTGTCAGTCTAAAGAGCACAGCAGACTGTTTATTCAAGCTTTGCTGACTGATGAGTGGTGCCTGAAGGAAGACGGATGATGATTTCATATTGTCCCATGTGTGGAAAACCGGTCTACTTTGGTAAGTGTATTTGTCTTGTAACTGGATTAAACTGTAGTCTATCTCATGAACTCACATGCGTTGTCTGGGTGTTACAGCCTCTACCTGAGGCTCAAGTAAAAATCTGAGGCTTGAAGAGTGCATTTGTCAAAGATGACTGAATGAATAAAATATTTATTTGCATGGTTAGGAAAAGATAACTTTTCATATTCACTGGCTTCCAGATTTTCTCTCTAAAAGGTTACTGCAAAAGAAAAGAAAAAAGTGGATGGGCTAAAGTAATTTGTAATTCCAGTTCAAATTCTTTCCTAAAAGGAATGGGATGTAGGGGAAAATTGAGATGTCTTTTTCTAACTCATAAAAGTTGGATTTTTCTTTTCTTTTATGCTCTGCCCCCAAATCATCTTTGCCAATTCTGTTTCCAGTGTTTAAAACTAGATTAGGTTTGTTGCTTCTACTGCTGTGTTATTGTTATGCTATTATCCCACTTTTTTACCCAAATTGGGACCCATGACTCCCTCATTAATTTCTGAGTTAATAGCTGTTTCAATAGAAATTCCGAATTCTTCAACTTTTGTTTTCTCATAAAATAATGTACATCCAATCCCACTTCTAAAGTGTTGGTATTGCTTTCATAGTCCCTAACAAATCTTCCTTCAACTGTGCCTCTGCCCAAGCACTGAGAAGTGTTCATTCTCATTAAAAAACAAAACCCATGCCTGAGATTCCTGTAGTGAAATATGTTTTGGCCTTTTTGCAGAACTATCCTACTGATGGCAAGAAAAAATATGAACAATTGCAGACCTTCTCCTTTTCATGAATTATCAGTATTGATTTAACATAAGATAGAAAACTGCATCCAGTTCTAGTCATGACCAAGACAAAGAATAGGTTTTGCAAGATGGGCTCCTTTTGTCATCTTATCCACCACTAAGTCGGAAAGATTCCAGTAGACCTTTGTGATAGAAATAGCTGAATAACCTGTGCTGTGTCACACTTCCTTGTGTTGCAAAATCTTGCAGTTGCTTCAACAAGGACCCACTGTATGCTATATGAGTCGGGAGCATGTGGGGCTAGGGACAGAGGGAGTAGGAGGGAATATTTGTGAATTGCTCCCTGTTCTTTCTTCACTCGATTTTATACTTCTTCTGAGAAGTACTGCAAATATTGAAACTCAATTTTTGCAAAGAAATAATTTCTTTACTGAAATGGGACTGTACCCTCCAACTTTCCTGATTTGGCAGGGGACACCCTGAGTAATCTTCTCAGGGTGTTACATATTTTCAGCTACTTTTAAAAAGTCCCAGTTTGTCTCCTGTCCTTCCACTTTCCTCAGCAGATGGGAGAGGAGACCAGGAGGTAGGATTTTGCCCTTCCCAGTAGGCTTAAGCAAAATCAAATTGCTGCAACCTCTACCAGATTGTGTGTTCTTCCTCATTAAGAACTTTTGCCATCTTGACTACTTTTGAATGTTCCTCAGCCACACGTTTTCATGGAGGGTTTGTGGGAGGATTCTCCTATGGTGGGTAGGGAAGGCTGACCCATCCCTTCAGGTCTACCAAAAAATATGACCTACCTGTTTGAAGCTTCTCTGGGCATACCTCAAATAAACACATGATGTGCTGCAGGCCTCAGGGTATACTAGGAATGCTTGGGGATATACCTAGAAATGCCCCAACTGGATCCCAGGACACTGTCCTCTTGCTGGAGTGGAAATCAACTCTCATTCTACTTTCATGCCCTTGTGGGAAAGCCACTCCACAGATAGAGCAGGCACTAGACATCAACAGCTGAGCTGCACTCCTCATATCTCTTGTAAATTCAAGGACAGTGTAAGGAGGTCTGTGACACTTTTCTTTGCCCGTGGATGATGTCTACAGCAAAGGAGATGTTCCAACATGCCTAAAAGATTAAGACTCACTTCCAACAAATTAGGGGAAAAGCCGTATTTGAGATACAGTTTGAGTAAAGGCCTTTGCAAACATATTTTTGCCCAATAATTCCTCAGCTGCTGCCAATATATTGTTGTACAGGATCCAAATACAGTCTTCATAACCTTATCACACTACACTGTTACAGCACTGTTTAACTGTCATGGCAACATCCTATGGAATCCTGGGATTTGCAGTTTAGGGAGAAGCTGTAATAAGAACTTGACTTTGGGGAATTTATAATTAGCTTAGAAATGATGAGTAGGATCTGGACCCATTGTGTGCAGAGGGAGGGAGGTAAGAGTCCTTGCAGAGACAGCATTTTTCCAAAAGAATAGTACTTTTATTAAGAGAGAAAAATAAATCAACAAGCAAGCACACACATACACAGAGGATACATGTAATCTGTAAGAAAGCTTTCACACACACACACAAATAGTTACCTAGGGACTCAGCATTCCTTGTAGAAAAATGGACCCAGCAGAGGAAGTGAGATCCTCCCTTCCCTTCCAAAATCAGCTCTCAGAACACAGATTTTGGAGGTCTTGATATAGGCTGAAAATAGGCTGGAGTGAAGATTGATTATTATATATCAAAGGATTCCTGATATGTTGCCTTTGAAGTAGACAATTTCCAAGGACAGAAGATGGGATGTTGATGTTATCTCATTCTTAGCTGGTTGTACATCTCTGTGCCTCCAGAATTCAGAGGGTGTAAATGTCCTGCTTGCAGCTCCTAGGCTCTGTCCCTTTTGATCTGCAAATTGTTGTAAATGTACATGTGACCTTTCAGGTGCCAACGTGATGTGCTCACCTTTGTTCCATGGTGATCAGGCTTCTCTAGGGCCATGGCAGGGACCCAAAGGGGGTCTTTTTATCAACTCAAAAAATTATCTACCTGTTTAAATGTAAATTGGACAGGTGATTATTTTCACATTGCCAGATTCTCTTCACCATGAAAAGGTCTCAATTTGGGGAAGCTTAACTTGATATCTAGGGCACTATTCTCATGAGTGAAACCCATTTGTAGGACTTGGAAGGTGTAGCAAACAGGAGAAAACTTATCGATCAATACATTCAAAACAATATGTCACATAGTTGCTGCAGACTGAGACTGTTCAGCAGACCAGGGTTTTGGTTTCACTATGTAGCCCTCAGATGCATCTGAGCCACACACTGCTTTTCTGTGGATCCCTCTTCAAAACTGATAAATATCACCTTCATTGACCTCAAATTCTCCATTATCCAATATTTCATACCTCTCTTTCTGGTAGCCTTGCATGATTCTTATGCTTGAATTGCTATTGTATGTTTACATGTATCTTTTCATATTTCTAAATAAAACCTTATTCACTGAAACTGGATTCTCTCTGCAGATAGTACTGCTATACCCAGGTGAAATGATCCTTGTAAGTTACCCACCTCTCACAGGCCTCCTTTGAACTAACAACCTCCCCCAACATTTAAAAGAGACACTGACAGTTGGTGAGAAGCCTCAAGTCCCCCAACCTTTTGGGGTAACGTTTCTTTCCAAAGGGAAACTGAATCAGGATAGGAGAAATCATGCCCCATCCATTAGTTATGGATTTCTGCTCCCACAGTTCTTCATCATTGGTCATGCTGGCTAGGATTTGGGGGAGTTGAAGTCCTAAACATCTAGAAGACCAAAGATCCCCCACCTTTGACTCATCTTGAACATTTGGCTGAAGCCTAGTTGTAAAGGCGCTGCAAGTTTTTGTTTTGTTTTTGTTTTTTTGTCACTATGAAAACTCTTCCATAGCATTCATTCCAATAATAAACACTGACAATTTGTATTCATGACATGGGAGCCAGTGTGGCATAGTGGTTTGAACATTAGAGTAAAACTCTGGAAATCAGGGTTCAAATCCCTGCTCAGCCATGGAAAATTACTGGGTGACCTTGGACAAGTCACACACTCTCAGCCTTAGAAAACCCCATGATAGGATCACCTTAGGATCATCATAAATTGGAAACTACATTGAAGACACTTAACACCAATTCATGACATGCATTCACATTGGGAGCACTGACCATGCTTCCATATGCTAACACAGGGGTAGGCAACCTTTCCCCTTTAAGGGCCGAGGGACTTCAGCTCCCAGAAGCCTCAGCTATGTTGGCCAATAGTCCCATATTGGCCAATAGCTCCTGGGATTCTGGGAGCTGAAGTCCCTCAGCCCTTAAAGGAGAAAGGTTGCCTACTCCTGTGCTAACATCTCTTCTGGCTCCACATCCTGTGTGGTATGTGCATTAGTGAGAAAGATTTACTGAATCTATTATGGGGTTGAGGAGTGGGGTTTCATATAAGGATGGCTTATGTCTATCCCAAGTGCCTCGTAGAATGGGGCTGCATGTCTGCTATCTGCATCTAGTGGGCATTTTACTTTACCCTTATGACATGTATACTACTTTCATACCAGAAGTAGGTCTAAAGAGAAAGGATTCTTGGTGGTGTCTAGCCCCACTAGAGGAATTCCATCCACCCCTATGAGCAGAAAGTGAAAATCAATGTAATTAAACATGGGAAGGGGAGATGTCTTTTCTGTTGAAGGCTGTGGTTCCTCAGGTGTGAACTGTGTGTGATAATAGGACTGCTGTGGACAAGGCCAAAGTTGTAGTCAATTTTCTCTCTCTGTTCTGCCATCCCTGCTCTCTCTTTCCTGTCTTTTTCTCTCATTCCCCCCTTTTCCTCAAACCTTTTGGTGCCCCTTTTCAGCCTCCTACTGCCACTCTCCACTTTTGCCAGACTTAGGGGGAAAGACTGAACAGAAGACTTGCAGAAGACTTCTGCTTTTTGTTTTTTTAATGTAATGTTTATTATTATACTTCATTAAAATAATAATATAAAAACTTTGAATATAGTTATTCTTTTTAGTAACAAATAATTACAAAATTACATTACATGCATATATACATAAGTGTAATATCATTTCAGATTTGTAACAATTGCAATTCTTATCAGACATGTATATTGCTGTAATGGCAGAAGACTTTTGAAAGGGCTGTATACAACCTATAGTAGGGCTGTTCTTATCATGAGGCACAATGAGGTGTATGCTTCAAGTATCAGATTTTATATGTTATGCAGGGTTATGTACCATATTTTGAAAAGCAAAAAAGAAGACACACTTACTGACTGAATGCAGTCAGCCCTTTCTATCCACAGATTCTGCATCCACAGATTCCACCATCCATGGTTAAAAAATACACATACACCCAAAATATAAAAATAAAAAAGCAAACCTTATTTCTGCCTTTAAAAAAAAAGGGGGGCACACCATTTTACTGTGCCATTGCATATAATGGGACTTGAGCTTCCACAGATTTTGGTATCCATAGAGGGTCCTCGAACCAAACCCCAGGCGATACCAAGGATCCATTGTACTTCAGATCACCAATTGTTATGACAACTCTAATTTCAATTACCCTATGGTAATTGCTATTATAAATATTCCTAATTTTCATTTTAAAGCAAAAACAAAGCAGCTTCATTTATATACCACTTCATATCGTGCTATGGGAT